TTGACTGTCCTGCTCGCTTCAAACAAGACAGAGAGAGGCTGGCCAGATGTCCGGCCTGTTGATTGACGGGGGCCGTGCTTGATGGCCTTACTGCTCACCAGGGCTCTGCTGTGCCAGTCTCAGTGTTGCCCAGTCTGTGCCGTCACGACTCAGTAGGAAGCTGCTTGTTTTGCCTGCCTGGAGGCCTGGTTCAGTCCCTGGCACCTCCCTTCAGGGGGCTCGGGTGGCAGTTATTCGAGAAGACCCTCCACTGTACCAGGAGGCATTGTATTCATGACTCAGTGGGCAATGCCCAGTTGTCCATTGGGGAATGGAGGAGTGGGGGTGGGCAAGGCGAGCCCTTCCTAAGTGCGGGCAAAGCTTCCCCTCCCCAGAATAAAGGTGGGAGGCGTGGCCCTCTGCCCATGATGACCTCCATTTAAAAATAAAGTTTGGGACACCTCAGAGAAAACTGAGCCATCTAAAACCAACGCTGCAAAGCAGGATGCTCCTGAGCCAAATAGAGAGGGATAGTGTGTTTTAACTGCCAGGAAGAAGGACACATGAAAGCCCATTGTCCAAAATTAGACAAAGGAAGACAGCAGACCTCAGCCAAGACTGTTAGTTTAGTTAAAAGGACTGAAGACCCTGTACTAGAAGAAGCCCAAATAGAGAGACCAGCTACAGTCTTACATGTATGGAAAGTGCAGGAAGACTTAAATGGGGAATATAAGGAAACTGTAGACATAAACAACAAGGAAATAATTGGCTGGAGAGATAGACGGGCAGAAATCACCTGAATAAAGCCTAACTTTGTAAAGAAAGAACAATATTTACCAGGAAGAACATGCAGGATTAAGGGGAATCAGTAGCCCAGAGTTTGAAGTGAACTTGGCAGAACTCCCAATTAAATACAAAGGATTCCAGGGCAAATTGATAATGGGAATGTGGGGGAAGAAGAAGAAGAGATTGGATTTATACCCCGCCCTTCACTTGGAGTCTCAGAGCGGCTTACAAACTCCTTTCCCTTCCCCTCCCCACAACAGACACCCTGTGAGGTGGGTGGGGCTGAGAGAACTCTGACACAAACTGCTCTTTTTCAAGGACAGCTGTGCCAGAGCTTGTGACTGACCCAAGGTCACACCAGCTGGCTGCATGTGGAGGAGTGGAGAATCAAACCCGGTTCTCCCAGATTAGAGTCCGCGCACTTAACCACTACACCAAACTGAACAAAGTTTGAGTCCAGTGGCACCGTTAAGACCAACAGAAGTTTAATTCTGGGCGTAAGCTTTCGTGTGCAGACACACTTCCTCAGATACATTGAAATGGAAGTTACCAGTCCATACATATAGGTACAGGGTGAGCAGCAATTAGCATACAACGTAATGAAGATGTTTAACAAATTCAAGGACCGAACAGGAATAACAAGCTTTACATGGAATGGTAACTTCCATTTCAACGTATCTGAGGAAGTGTGCCTGCACACGAAGGCTTACGCCCAGAATTAAACTTCTGTTGGTCTTAACGGTGCCACTGGACTCGAACTTTGTTCTGCTGCTTCAGACCAACATGGCTGCCCCACCTGAATCTTATATTCGTGGGGAGAATTGGACATTCCAATTATAGTGGAGGATGACTTGGCCTCACAAGCAAACGTAGTTAATGTATTAACCAGGAGTAGGCCTCAGAGTCAGGCTTCGGAGCAGCGGACTAGGCCTGAAACCCCAGTGGTCGCTACGGAAACCAATTCTAGCCACTCTGCCTGTGATGATGACCGCTGCCCCCTCTCCCCTGCAGTGGAACTTCCCCCTCCTGATGTTTGCGTGGAAGATCGCCCCGGCCCTCTGCTGTGGCAATACCGTGGTCATCAAGCCAGCCGAGCAGACCCCCCTCACGGCGCTCTACATGGGAGCCCTCATCAAGGAGGTGAGCCCAGAGCAGGAGGTGGCCCCGGGCCCGTCCTGGAGGCGGCCTGAGAGCGGCCATGACTTGCGGCGTGGTCCCTTCTCGCACAGTGACCCTGCCTCCCCCTTGCTTTGCTTAACAGGCCGGGTTTCCGCCGGGAGTGGTCAACATTTTGCCAGGATTTGGGCCCACCACGGGCGCAGCGATCGCTTCTCACACGGGCATCGACAAGATTGCCTTCACGGGGTCCACCGAGGTAAGCTGATTTCCAAAGCAAAAGCTTTGGCCTGTAAGAAGAGCTTTTACTTGGGAGCAGAGGGTGGCGCCCAGGGGTGGAAAAGGGTATCCAAATGGCCTCTTCCCATGGTCCCACCTGGTGCGCTCCCGGGCAGGCGGGAGAGGGCCCCTGTGGATTGCATGGAATGCGCTGGACTTATCTGTTTTTGCCTCTGGTGCCCTTGAGTCACGCCCCCCCCGCATCTGCCCCACTGGCTTGTGCCCAGGCCAGGAGCAGCGGCACCTCAGGGGCGAGTCCCCCCGGATAGATCTCCGGGACGTAGGTGGGCTTTGTTTGGATCGATCCGTTTTCTCCTGCGAGAGGCCGCGCTGGGTAGGGAGGGCAGACGACGGGCAGATGGCCTTCGTTTCGGAATTATCTCTCGTAGCCAAAATAAACGCGGAGCCTCATTCCAGAGGGCTTTTGTTGTAATAGGCATTTAAATTCAAACGCTGCGGATTTTTACTTTCTGAGATCTGGAGAAGTATAGATCGACCAATCACTCACTGCTTAGTAGTCCCTTCCCCTGAGTGAATGGGCACAGGGGGTATTTTTGTTCTCGCCTTTTTCAGGAATGGAGCACGAGATACCGCTGGGAGGGACTAGACTAGGCCCCCTGGGGACAGCAGCCAAATAAAGGAGGCTGGACGTGCAGCCAAGTAGGCTCCAGCGCCAAGTAGGCTCCAGCGCCGGTCCTGTAGCCAGGATTTTTAAATTCAAGGGGCCTTTAAATAAGTCAGGGGGCACCCCGCACAGACACCCTCAACACACTTCCAAGGGAGCGACACAAATAAAATAAAAAATTGGAAGTCGGGGGGCTTTGCAGTAAGTTGGGGGGCTGGGCCCCAAGGCGCCCCACTGTAGCCCTCCCGGGTCCTGGTGGCCGGATTTCCTACTGTCATGAAAGTGGCCCACACTAGAACCGCCCCCCCCCACGTCTAAGGACCAAGACAAGCCCTCCACATGTTCACAGATGGGAAGAGTTGTTACTGGTGGGACAGCCCAAGGAACCAAAGAACCTTGCTTTGATTTAGGCGACAACTGCAGCCTGGGAGAAGGAACCCAGACTGCCGGAAACATGTGGAGCATCAGAGGGCTGGTCCCTCATCTCCGTGATTTCGACTAAGTCAGCTCAGGCCAATTTGCATGTGTCAAAGAAGCAGCGTTTACAAGAAGCGCCAGTTGGAAGGCCTCCTCGTCCCAGTGCCCTGTTTCTGGTCTCGCATACAAAGGAGGGACTCCTGGGTTTCAGATGGCTTCTGGACCAATTCTTACAGGGGAACGGTCCTCAACGGCTACTAGTCCCGATGATGACGTCGAATTCTTTTATTGTATTTATTTACGTTATGTAATATTCCCCCTTTTCTCATTAAGACTCGAGGCAGCTCACACAATGCAAGTCGGCGCAATCAGTAGAATAAGGTATCTGATAAAGGCAGTGTTGGACTGGATGGGCCATTGGTCTGATTCAACACTGGCTACTCTTATGTTCTTATGCTGGGCAGTTTAATACGTGGTAAGAAGAAGCCAGAGGAGGAGGAGGAGGAGGAGGAGAAAGAAGGAGAAGAAGAAGAAGAAGAAGAAGAAGAAGAAGAAGAAGAAGAAGAAGAAGAAGAAGAAGAAGAAGAAGAAGAAGAAGACGACGACGACGACGACGACGACGACATTGGGTTTGATACCCAGCCCTTCACTACCCGAGGGAGTCTCAGAGCGGCTTACAAACTCCCTTCCCCTCCCCTCCCCACAACAGACAGACACCCTGGGAGGCAGGTGGGAGCCAAGAGAGCTCTTTTGAGGACTGCCCTTGAGAGAACAGCTCTTATCAGAACTATGGCTTGGCTTGCCCAAGGTCATCCAGCAGGTGCAAGTGGAGGGGTGGGGAATCCAGCCCGGTTCTCCCAGATTAGAGTCCGCGTTCCGAACCACTACACCAAACTGGCGGATGCTGCCGTGTGGGTGGCCAGGAATGTATTCTGGGTGAAACCGGGTAGGATTTGTGGTCCCCGACGGTTGCTGGCCACGGGCTTGAGTGTTTTGCAAGGGTTTTGGGTGCCACGGCTGCTTCCGTTCCCCAGAGACCCAGAGTCTCGTTTCTGCCTCGGAGGGGGACCACGGCTCCCCCAGGCGGAAAGCACCAGATGCTCTTGGTCGCCCTGAGCCGGCAAAGTGGCCGGAGAAGCGAAGGGTGGCTCTGCTCGGCTCCAACACCCATCTGGAGGCCACTTGGCCCCGGAAGGCGGCTCAGTTCCCCGGAGGAGGCCTCGGGTGGGGCTCGGTGCTCTGGGGCCTGGGTGAGGCTTCCTCCCCCCACGGCGAGGGCGGGGTGTGTGTGTGTTTTCTTTCTGCACTTGGAGTAACAAAGCCCGAGCACAACATTCGTCAACCAACCGGGGCCTGGCTGAGCGCATCAAAGCAAACGGCGGGAGAGGCCAGGCAAATGTTCAGAGCCAACAGCTGTGGGAGCCCGGCTTGGATGTGGCCGTGGGGACGCATCCAGGCCTCTGTGCAGCCGCCTCCCTCCCTCCCTCCCTCCCTCCCTCCGGCAATCCTCCCTGGCTGGGGAGGGGCCGAACGCAGCCCCTCCTGAGGCAGCTGAGGTCCCTGGGCTTCCCTGACAAGTTCCCAGAGGATCTCTCGAAGCAGCCCCTCCAGGGCAGGGGGGCAGACGCCGGGCCCCAATAAGGCCTTCCCCGGGCCAGCCCAGCAAGGAGTTCTTCTTGGACACACGCCCCACTGGAGAGAGAGCCACTGCTGTCCAGTCTGAGAGCCAGTCTGGTGTTGTGGTTAAGAGCAGCAAACTCTAATCTGGGAGAGCCGGGTTTGATTCCCCACTCCTCCTCTGCATGCAGCTGGCTGGGTGACCTCGGGTCAGTCACAAGTTCTCTCGGAGCCGTTCTTTCTAATGAGCAGTCCTCTAAAGAGCTCTCTCAGCCCCACCTGCCTCACAGGGTGTCTGTCTGTTGTGGGGAGGGGAAGGGATTGTCAGCCACTCTGGAGAGCCAGTTGGGTGTAGTGGTTAGGAGCGCAGGCTCTAATCTGGGAGAACCGGGTTTGATTCCCCACTCTTCCTCCACTTGCAGCTTCTGGGTGACCTTGAGCAGGCCGTAGTTCTGACAAGAGCTGTTCTTGAAAAAGAGCAGTTTCTGTCAGAGCTCTCTCAGCCCCACCTACCTCACAGGGTGTCTGTCTGTTGTGGGGAGGGGAAGGAGATTGTGAGCTGCTCTGAGACTCCGAGTGAAGGGCAGGGTGTAAATCCAATCTCCTCCTCCTCCTCCTCCTCCTCCTCCTTTAGGAGTTTGTAAGCCGCTCTGAGACACCTTTGGGTAGTGAAGGGCAGGGTATAAATCCAATCTCCTCCTCCTCCTCCTCCTCCTCCTCCTCCTCTCTGAGACTCCGAGTGAAGGGCAGGGTGTAAATCCAATCCTCCTCCCAGAAGAGCGGCCTGGGGGATCATGCCACTGCTTCCTTGAGCACAGGTGGAGAGTGGGTGTGTGAGCCAGAAAAGTCTTTCCCTTCGGGGGGGCGCAGTGAGCTGGACCAAGCGATTCCGTTGACTTTGTAAAAGGCGTTTGGCTTCCCAGCAGCCCGGGTGGGAGAGTTCCCGTTCACCCTGCATGTGAGCGCCTGGGATCTTCTGACGGTCTCTCGGGCTGGCCCCAACTCTTGCGGTTGCCAGGTCCAGGTTGGGAAACACCTGGAGATTTGGGGGTGGAGCCTGCAGAGGTGGGGCTTGGGGAGGGGAGGGGCCTCAGCCCTCGCTCCCCAGCGGCCGTTTCCTCGGGGGGGGGCGGTGGGCGTGGGAGGGGGAGGGGCCTCCGCCCTCGCTCCCAAGCGGCCGTTTCCTCCGGGGGGGGGGGACGACACACCGATCTCTGTCGTCAATGGCCGGCGATCTCCAGGCCCCGGCTGGAGACTGGCAACCCTAACGGCAGGCAGCCCAAGTAGCAAAGGGTTAAAATAAACCCCCACAGGCCCCCCATCTGTAGTTTGCAGGAGGGGGGAGGGGGGCTTGTGTGGGGGTATCGGAGTCAGGTGCGAAACACGGCTGTGGTTTGGAACGGTAAAAACCGGCAGCCCTTTGGATCTGTCTCCTGCGCTTCTCGCAGTCGGGAGGTGAGGGGGTCAGCGATCCTAGGGCCCCCCCTCCCTTTGCAAGCTGACAATCTGAGCCTGCAGTGGACCTCCTCACCGGCGGATCATCGGGCACCTCGGACCCTGCAGGGCAGTCTCTCCAGCTGGCTGGGCTGTCTCAGCAGGGCCCCGGGTTCCTCTCCCAGGGGGGTGGTGTCGGGATGGACCAGGGCTGTGATCTTCCCCTCGGGGTCAAGCTGTGTTTGGATAACAAACCAAACGCCCACCGCCACCCCCTCCCCCACCTTCCCACAGGCTGGGGCTGGAGGCAAGGCTCCCTCTAAGCTGCGGAGTCCTGTGAGCGAAAGTTCCGCTTTTTGAGCGGCTGGCATGGCAGTCGGGAGCGGGAAGGGAACAGCGTTCCGTGCACCTCGGCGTCTAGTCATGCCAGCCACCTGACCACGGAAATGTCTTCAGACAGCGCTGGCTCTTCGGCTTGGAAACGGAGATGAGTGCCGCACCCCTAGAGTCGGATTTGACTGGCTTTTGAGCAAGGGAAACCGTTTACCTTTTTACAGGGAGCCGTCAGACACAGGGAGAGGAAAACAAACTTGACCCCAATACTTCGAATCAAGAACCATAAGGGTCAGAAAGCAGCCTGATAAAGAGCCAGTATTAAAAACCTAGCGTATAATTGTTATCTACAAAAATGCAGGTATTTATTAGAGAAACTGTTAAAAACATAAAAGGGCCCAATGAAAGCCTCGTTACCAAGTACGAGTGACCTGAACACAAGGGCCAACACAATATTATACCCCCTGAACATGAGGGCCAGTGACAATTGTACACAAGGTTTTTAATACTGGCCAGTGTTCCCTCTAAGCGGAGTGAGTGTGAGCTAGCTCACAGTTTTTTAGCCTCCGGCTCACACATCTTTGTCTTTGCTCAGGAAGGAGGGGGCTCCACAGCAAACTAGTTTATGCAGGAGCCTCACAGGGGTCATGTCGTAGAAAAAGAGGTGCAGGAGCTCATTAGCATGACTCATTAGCATGACTTATTTGCATACGCCACACCCCCGGGCATCACCGGACGTGTGTCAGAAGGCACCACTCAGGCTCCACCTGACTGTTTTGGATGGCTAGCTATTGGGGGGGGGGGAACGTACAGATCTGTCCTCGTGGAGGAGGGAGAGCTTGTGCCTGAAGGCGGGCCGAAAGGGGGGCTCTGCAACTTACCTGGCTGCTTCTTGCTCCTCGTGGCCCGACTGAGGGCTGCTGGGAGCAGGGGGTGGGGCTTGTTGCATGTGCCCGCCCCCTGGGCTCCTTACTGCCAGAGCTCCGCTCCTGTGCACTCCCGCAGGAAATGACCCCTGCTCCCTCACTACTTTAATGCCAGTAGCTCACAAAATATAAATTTTTGCTCACAAGACTCTACAGCTTAGAGGGAGCCCTTGTGGGCTGGGGAGCTGCTCTCACATCTGCGATTCATTCCGAGGGATTCCTGCTCGGCGCAAAACACCCGTCCTCCTGTGCAAGAAGGAACTGGGGGTTGTTGTTTTTTTGCAACATCCCTTTTGCCTGTGAACCCCCTTATCCAAGAGCAGTCACCTGTCTGTTTCCCGTTAGATTTGAGCCCAGGAACACCATACGAGAGAAAGACCAAGAAGGTCTCCTGGGTGTGAGCTTCCCAGAGTCCCGGCTCCCTTCATCCAATGGAGCCGCTCTCCTGGGCCAGTTCACCTCGAAGCCCCACCCCCGGCCCATGACTCCGCCCTGCTTCCCCGCTGCCTGTGTGCTCCCCTGCTCTGGATCTCTGCCAGAATGTGAAGTGCCCACAAAGGCAGGCCAGGGGCCCTTCCCGAGAGGTGCGCCAAAGGAGGCGGCCCGCTTGGCAGAGGCTACTGCCCGGCCCTCCTGGGCCTCCCTTGGCATTCACCCAGGGAGCCCCCCGACTCTTCCTCACCTGGCAGCTGGGAAGCGGTGCCAGCGGGTGCCAGCATTCCTACCTCCCTTATCTCCGGGGGAGGCTGCTGCTTCCCCCCTCCCCGGGGCTCCCGAGCCAGGCCGTGCTGCCTCTCTGTGGCCAAGCGCGCCTCCGGAAGGGGCCGGAAAGGCCAATGCGGTTGGTTCAGGGCCAGGATTCCTTTTCCAGCGGCCTCCCCCCCCCCTTTCTAGAGGCAGGAGAGTCCGTACCACCCCCGGGCTGCCCTTCTAGTTCCCCCCTCTGCCTGCTTCCCCAGGCATCGGGGTTGGCTGGGGAGGCTTGGAGCCACCGGCCTCCCTTGGCAGGGGCCAGGACAAGTAGGTAAGGTCCCAGGTTCAATCCCCGGCATCTCCAGTTAAAAAGGACCAGGCAGGAGGTGAGGGGAAAGACCTCCGCCTGAGACCCTGGAGAGCTGTAAGGAGGGGCTGTGGCTCAGGGGCAGAGCCTCTGCTTGGCATGCAGGAGGTCCCAGGCTCCATCCCCGGCAGCATCTCCAGTTAAAAAAGGACCGGGCAGGAGGCGATGCGAAAGACCTCCGCCTGAGACCCTGGAGAGCGTCTGCCAGTCTGAGCAACCTGATGAACAAAGAGTCTGGTTCCGGAGAAAGGAGCTTCGTAAGAACTGCCCTTTTGTCCTGCAGCAGGATGTTGGTTTCTTTGCTCCTTGGTTGCCTCAGTGCAAACGTTCACTTCCTCTGATGCACCTTAAAGACTAACCCAATCTGTAGCACGGCCTGCACTTCCGAGAGTCACTCCTCACTCCTGAAAGCTCCCTCCGCCTGAGACCCTGGAGAGCGTCTGCCAGTCCCAGCAACCTGATGAACCAAGAGTCTGGTTCCGGAGAAGAGAGCTTCGTAGGAACTGCCCTTTTGTCCTGCAGCGGGATGTTGGTTTCTTTGCTCCTCAGTTGCCTCAGTGCAAACATTCACTTCCTCTGATGCACCTTCACGACTAACCAAATCTGTGGCGGGGCGTGCACTCCCCGGAGTCACGGGCCCCCCCCTAGAGTGACCAGAGACGGGAGCTCGCTCCGTCACGCGGCACTCGGGTCTCGAACTGCCGAACTACCGACCTTCCAGTCTGCAGTTCAGCATCTTAACCATTTGAGCCACTGTGGCCCCAAGAGATACAGTGTTATGTGACAAATACTGGAATGTAGGAAGTGCTGTGCAGTGTTTAAATAATGTCTCAACTGCCTTGCGATTGTTCTTGTTTAAAGCCACTCCATAGACAACACCCGTTGAATGTCAAATGATAGTAATGGAGTTAACAAAAAAATAAGGGTCACTTCTCCCCACTCTGAACTTCCGGTCTGCAGTTCAGCGTCTTAACCACTTGAGCCACCGCGGCCCCAACTCAGCCACGAATTGTGTTAGTCTTGAAGGCGCTCCTGGACTCTGGCTCTTTTCTCCTGCTACAGACTGAGCTTTTTCTGACGGACTCCCCTCTCCTTGGGCTGCTGCTGCAGGGAAGCTCCCTGTCTGAGGTCGCCTCCGTTTCGGGCTTTGCAAAGACTGACGTCTTCCTCTCTGCTCTCCACAGAGCCGGCCGGCCGGTGCTCAGATTGCTGGGCTGCGTGTAGAAACGGCCTTCTCCTTTCCCTTCCAGGTTGGGAAGCTGATCCAAGAAGCCGCGGGGAGGAGCAACTTGAAGAGGGTGACCCTGGAGCTGGGGGGGAAGAGCCCCAACATTATTTTTGCAGACGCAGATTGTAAGTCGGCCGCGGCACTTCTCTCGCCTTCGGTGCATGCCCCGTGCGTGCATGTTTGTGTGAAGGCAAAGGTTTCCCTTGCTCGAAAGCCACTCAGATCCGACTCTAGGGATGCGGTGCTTATCTCCGTTTCCAAGCCGAAGAGCCAGCGCTGTCCGAAGATGTTTCCGTGGTCATGTGGCCGGTGTGACTAGACGCCTAGGCGATGTTTCCGCTTTACATGTGTACTTTACATGTGTACTTTACAAAGCATCTCTTGGTGGAGCAAAGGGCACGGCTGTGAGCTGTCTCCGTCTCCACTGTACAGCCAGAGGCTGCTAACAATGATGCTGAGCATCAAAGGAGCAGGCCTGTGCATTCAGGAAATTCCACACAACAGCCCTGTAAGGTAGGCCGGGGTCAATATCTATCCCTTGCGGATGGGGACCGAGGCTTTGGAGAGCAGGCCCTCGCCTGGGGCCGCCCAGGGAGCTCTTGGCTAAGGCCAGGTTGAAGCCAGTGGTTCGGGAACGGAAGCTGCCGCGCTGCCACTGACCACTCCTCTGGCGGGATTACACCTGGAGCCTGGGATTCCTGGAGATTCAGAGGGTGGGGAACACGATGCCGTGGAGTCCACCCGCTGGCAGCTCCCATTTTCTCCGGGAGGGGGGATTGACCCCTGTAGTCTGGGAGACCAGTTGCAACTCCAGGGCATCTCCTGGCCCCACGTGGAGCTCCCAAGTCAAGGACGAGAGATCACGGGACAGGGTGGAGATTCGTAAGGAAAACAACCGTGATAAGAAATCTTCTTTAATTAGCCAGTGGAAAACAATTCTTTCGAGTTGTACCCTTTGAGGCGAATGGGTCTCAAGTCTTGCTGATCAACGGTGCTCAATAGACTGTTTCACTCAGCCTTATGCCTTTCATATTTTACAACTTTCTGTCTTCTCCTTCTTTCTTCCTAACTTTCATCGTTTCGTTATGCGAAAGGCAGCTACGTCACACAGGGCCCTAGCCAGGATTTCTGTAAGTCGGGGGGCGTTTGAATTTCGTAGGGGGCACTGGCAAATTGTTGGGTTTTATGGGTATTCTTAAGTACTTAAAGTAAATCAGCAGAGTCAGCAGAGTGTTAAAGAGTCAGAGTCCACGATGTGTTTAAAATATAAAAGTTTACTACAACCTAGCATGGGGAAAAGGTATACGGGATGAAAAATAACAAAGAGCTATATTTCTACATCCTCACAGCTAGACAGAACATGGCAGAGATCTAATGGAGACAGAAGTCTAATGGAGACTACTGGACTTCTTCTTGCTGTGGACAAAGGGTCATAAAATGCTAATACTAGCCACTCTATTCTCCAATCAGAACAACAAACTAGATCTGAAGTTGGCAGGCTTTCTAACTCTCTAAACACATTGGTCACAAACAAACATGTGATTTAGTAAACAGTATTAACCCAGTAAATACTGAAATAGATGTGTTTTAACTTGTAACATCCAACAGCGAATCAATTTAATTCATGGGAGAAGGCCGCGGCACCCTGGGCTAGATGGGGAGTCATGGGGCCTTGCCGGCAAGTCAGGGGGCCTAGCCCCAAGATGCCCCACCGTAGCTGTGGGCCTGGCGACGTGCTAACCTCCACATGCAGTCTAGAAAGGACAGCCAGAGGTTAGCACGTGGCTGCTTTCCCCCTAGCTGCTGGCTTGAGTCTGAGAGAACCACAACTGAGGTGTGAGTTTTTGTGACTCTGGATGCTCCTGGGGGAGCCAGAGGGGAGGGGGCCAAGCAGAGGTGTGTTTTCGGGGTCCAGCTCTCCCGCTGCCAGACAAGGGCGGAGGCTGCGGTCAGAGGAGACATGCTGGCCGCCCGTCTTCTCTCTGTCCAGGAGGGGTGGAGGGATTTCTGTACACCCTGGCAGCAGCCCCTCCCGGGCACCGGGCAGCTTTGCTTCCCCAGAGGCCCAGCTGCCTGACGCCCAGAAGCTTCTGATCTTAGGATGCTCCCGCTTTTCCCTCTTTTTTGTCAGCGCCTCGCCTCCCCCACAGAGTTCCCCAAACGTTTGGCTTCTGGCCACACAGTGGGGGGTGGGCTGCAGATTTCTGGCGCGTGGGATGACACACACATGTCCCCGTCCCCCCCCGGGGGGGAAGGTCGACTCAGGGCAGGGTTGAGAATGGAGCTCCGGGTTCTGATGAGGGCAGGAACTCTGCCCTTGCCTGGTGGGATCCTGCAAGGCGTTTCCGGTCTTCTCTCCTGGGCTTTCTGAGGGGCGCGTGAGGATCCTTCTGGGCTGGGCTGGTGAGGCTGACTACTAGTCCACGTGTCTCTCCATGGAAGCATCTCTTTTGGTGTGGTGGTTAAGAGACGTGGACTCTGAGCTGGATAACCGGGTTCGATTCCCCCGTTCCTCCTCCACATGAAGCCAGCTGGGTGGCCCTGGGCCAGTCACAAGCTCTCTCCGCCCCACCTACCTCACAGGGTGCCTGTTGTGGGGAGAGGAAGAGAAGGCGATTGTAAGCCGCTCCAAGACTCCTTCAGGTAGTGAAGAGCAGGGTATAAATCCAATCTCCTCCTCCTCCTCCTCCTCCTCCTCCT